AAGATCGATGCATTTCCATGCAGTTTGTGCATGTGTGTGTGTAAACATAACATTCTGTACTGCTTTTAGATATTGTTTAGGGTCATTTGACGATTTCAGTCATCGTACAGAGGGAATCCATCATCTTCTAATCAGTGACATCAACCTCTCGGTCATTGCGTGTAACAATTTTGGACATCATCTTGGAAACTTCTAAGCTTCCAAATGGTTTGCTGCATTTATAAAGCGCCCATGTCTTGAGGTTGTTCAGTTTGATGCGGTTTACTACTATGTGTGGTCTGATTGGATGGGAATCACAGGACTGGTGTTTCTACTCAGCCAATCATCATTGACAAGAAAAAAACTGCAGGTTAAATGAAAAATAGTGGAGTAAATGTACCGATACAGCACTAAAAAATGTACTCAAGGTTAAAGTTCACTGCTTATTAAATTACAGCTCCAGACAAATGCTACTCAATAGAAATTTACAATTACTATTATAATTGTATTGTTATTTCTAACCCTATTCTGCATGTCCCATCCCAACTTCCAACTCCACCATGACAATATGTCAACGCAGGCCAGAAAAATTGCACTCATCAAGCAACTTTTTCAGTGGCTCTTTAAGCTAACACTCGCTAAGCGGGTCTCCAGCGGCACAAATGATGACACCTGTCAGAGAAAGAGAGAAAAATGACACGCCGCCACATCCTAATGTTCGTTGATAAGATTAGAAAACATCGTGTTCTTCGCTGACTCAAAACGAATGGGAAAGCAACAGAGTAAAGAATCTCATTTGCATCCTCCTCAATGGAGAGAAATGGATGAGAAGAAAGAAAAAAGCACATTCATTTACATGCTGATACACAGAGTGAAAGAAAGATGCCCTAAATGAGGGGGTAGATACTCATTTAATTCCAGCGCTGAGACACGGAGAAAAGGCTGAAACAGAGGGAGGTGAATATGAGGCAAAAGACGAAAGGGTGGAAACAGCGGCTTGTATTAGAAACCTGTAATTTAAATCAAAGGTTATAATCAAAAATTTATCAGTTAATTGATCTCGCACATGCTGCTTGCCAAGAGAGCAATTTAGAGGCCTGTCGCTCGGGCTGCAAATCTATCGAGCGCCGCTCTATAAAGCCAGTTTGTTGGCTTGTAATGATCAAGCGCTCCTCTAATGTTCTCTGAGAGCTGATATGATAGGGCTCAGACAGAGACATTCAGCAGCCACGACCCCATGAAGAAAAATCATGCAAACATTTCACCCAAATATTACGACACTGACATCATCTTCTCAATCTTGACGCATTTGTAGGATGTTATTTGTTCTTTTCTGAACATGAAAATAAGGATTTAGATGACAAGTCCTGTTGGTTCGCAACGATGAGTCAGGAAATATATAGACATGCTGATAATTTTACAACATTTTTATGTATACTTTACATAGTGAGAATTTACTCACTATTTATTTACTTTCAAGTGGTTACAAAGCTTTATGAGTTTTATTTTTGTGTGCAACACAAAACAGAAGGTTTTGAAGAAAGCTAAATCCATTAGCACTGACATCCAATAGTAGGAAAAGCAAATACAATGAAAGTCAAGGGTTACAGGTTTTTAGCTTTTTTTCATAACGCATGAAAGTCAAGGCGACGCAGTGGCGCAGTAGGTAGTGCTGTCGCCTCACAGCAAGAAGGTTGCTGGGTCGCTGGTTCAAATCTCCACTCGGCTCGGCTCAGTTGGCGTTTCTGTGTGGAGTTGGACTGTTCTTCCTGCATTTGCGTGGGTTTGCTCAGGGTGCTCCGGTTTCCCCAAACAGTCCAAAGACTTGCAATTTAGGTAAACTAAATTGTCCGTAGTGTATGAGTGTGTGTATGAATGAGTGTGTGGATGTTTCCCAGAGATGGGTTGCGGCTGGACCGGCATTCCCTGTGTAAAAACGTGCTGGATAAGTTGACGGTTCATTCTGCTGTGGCGACCCCGGATTTATAGAGGGACTAAGCCGACAAGAAAATGAATGAAAGTCAAACATGTTTGGAACAAGTGAAGGTTGTACATGTTGGATAAACCCTTTAAGAACAGAATCAGCTCAATTAACTGATTCAAAAGAACATGTAATTTTCCAGTCTGGTTCAAAAGATGATGTATTACTGTACATAATGACCCAAACATTAAAATTCTGTCGTTTACTTAACCACTACTTGTTCAAAACCTTTTTGAGCTGCTTCTGTTGAACACTAAAGAAGACATTTTTAAAGAAAGACTGATTTCCAGAGTATTTGTTTTTCCTACTGTGAAACTCATCGGGTTCCAGCAACCAGCATTTTTCATAATATCTTCTTTTGTTTTCGACAAAAATAAAAGAAACCACATGAGGGAGAATAAACGATGATTTTGAATTTTGAGTTGAACTACACTTGGGCGACGCAGTGGCGCAGTAGGTAGTGCTGTTGCCTCACATCAAGAAGGTAGCTGGTTTGAGCCTCGGCTGGGTCAGTTGGCATTTCTGTGTGGAGTTTGCATGTTCTGCCCGCATTCGCGTGGGTTTCCTCCGGGTGCTCCGGTTTCCCCCACAATCAAAAGACATGCGTTACAGGTGAACTGAATAAGCTAAATTGGCCATAGTGTATGAGTGTGAATGAGTGTGTATGGATGTTTCCCAGAGATAGGTTACAGCTGAAAGGGCATCCGCTGTGTAAAACATATGCTGAATAAGTTGGCAGTTCATTCCACTGTGGTGACCCCAGATTAATAAAGGGACTAAGCTGAAAAGAAAATGAATAAATGAACTACACTTTAAAATAAATACTAATGATCATATTTTTTAATATGTGCACACTCAAAAAAATTACACATCTGTCACTGGGCAGTATTAAATATAAAAGAGACATCATTGTACCTTATCTAACCCTAAGTGATACATATTAGTATCTGAAATGTAAATATTAGAACTGTAAAAGTACATTTCAATACCAGATTTACATATTAGGACTTAAAATATCAGAATTCACAACTCATATTTTGATGTTACTTCCATAGGTTTAGAAACACTTCAACACATGTAATTTGAGTGAAGTGTATGGTGACATTTAGTTATTTTTGGACACTTAAAAGGACAGTAAACCTAAAAATGAAAATGTATCTCATTCACTTAACCTCTACTTCTTCAAAACTTTTTTGAGCTGCTTCTGTTGAACACAAAAGAAGATATTTTGAAGAAAGCTGAAAACATTGACTTTAAAAGTATTTGTTTTTCCAACTAATTAAGTCAATAGGCTCCAGCAACCAGCATTTTTCAAGATATCGTCTTTTGTTTTTGACAAAAAAAGAAAAAACACGTGAGGACGAATAAACGATGAAGGAATTTTCAATTTGAGTTGGAATACACTTTAAAATAAATACTAATGTTGTACTTTTTGATATATTTACACTCTCAAAAGAAATTACACATCTGTCACTGGGGCAGCATAAATATGAAAAGGAATGTCTTTATGCATTATTTAGCCCCAAATGATACTTATTAGTATCTGACATGTAAATATTGGAACTGTAAAAGCACATCTCAGAACCTTAGATATAAGCACTCAAAATATCATAATTCAGCACAACTCATACTTTGATGTTACTTGCATAAGCTGTTATACATGGTGATATTTAGCTATTTTTGGACACTTAAAGGGACAGTCACACAAAAATGAGAATGTATCTCATCATTTACTCATACTCAAGTGGTTCTAAACTTGAACATAGTACAAGATATTCCCAAGAATAGTATCCATGACATTACATAGTAGAACTTTTTTTACAGAAGTCAGTGTCTGTTTTCACTAGCATTCTTCAATACTGTTATCCCTGATGTTAAATGTCTAGGATTGCAACAGTGAAAGTTTCCAAATGGGGTGAGTGTGGATCAGTCCCCTGCCTTTACGACAACACACCAAATTCAGTTTAAGAATTTATTAACAAAAATGTACAATGATAAAACAAAACTGGGAAGCAAAAATAGGCTTCGAAAGGGGGGAAGGCCAAAACAACAAACAAAAGTACACTCTAGCTAGTTTGGGAATAAAACTGTCTAAAAATACAATTGGCAAAATAAAAAAATAAAAAAAAATGACAAAATACAATTAACAACAGAAAGGTACATTATTACCTAACTAAACAAACAAAAGAAAGAGGGTTTTAGAAATATAGTGGCACCCACCTATCTACGGCTTCCAAACACAAAGTTAAGTTTCAAAAACAAAGTTTTTTACCTTTGTAGGTCAACCACAACCGTGGTAATAATCTTTCATAACGCCAACAAGGCAGGGCAGGGCAGGGCAGGGCAGGGCAGGGCAGGGCAGGGCAGGGCAGGGCAGGGCAGGGCAGGGCAGGAGAGAGACCACACTCTGAAAGCAAGCTTCAATGTGGCTTACAACTGATCAGCTTTTAAGCTTGCAGGGCAACGAGCAGCAGGTGCAGTTAATTTACCTCCTCTCCTCCACACCTAGCTGAGAAACAGGTATAGTAACAGAAGAGGAAGAACAGAAGCCAAACACAACATTATATTCAAAACACCATGGAATGTAACAACAGAAAAAAGAAACAGTAAGATAAGTAAGTAAGATAAATTGTAAGATAAGTAAATGATGATAGAATTTTTTTTATTATTTAGAATTTTATTTATTTTATGTTATTTTTTTTTTTTTACAAAATGACGATAAATTAAGGATCCGTTTCAAAGAATATTAGGATGTCTTGCTAATGATGGTAGAAAGTGCAGGTGGCAATATTAGCATATCATCACTTGTATTTTATCACTCTATGATTCAGACTCACATTGTCAGGTAAAGCAGCTTCTGGAAGTTGTTCTGCGTTATCATGAAATCACGTCTCTTCATGTGTTATCACGACTCAGACACAGAGAAATGATCGCTCTTGTCACGTCTCATTGAAGCCATTGTTCCTTTAAGCGGCAGAAACAGTGGATTAGAGCGGGATGCATAAGAATAAAGCTGATCAAAATCTGTCTTTCTCTCCAGGGTAACCAGGAGGCCCCAGCTCCCCCAGAAGCCATGGCTCAGCCGTACGCCCCAGCTCAGTATCCTCCTCCTCCACCTCAAAACGGGCTGCCTGGCGAATACACCCACCCTGGGCAGGACTACACAGGGCCCAGTCCGGTCCCTGAGCATGCGGCGGCCCTCACCATCTACACACCAACACAGACACACAGCGAGCCGCCTGGCACCGACAGCAGCACACCATCCCTCACAGGGACCAGCAGCTTAACAGTGAGTGCCCGCTACTGCATGTGTTATTTTGTTTGTTTGTTTTTGTATTGTCGATAGATAGACAAAAAATAATGTATTTAATGATTTATTTTACTTTATATATATATATATATATATATATATATATATATATATATATATATATATATATATATATATATATATATAGTTTTGTTTTTCACTTATTATATTTTTTATTGTTGTTTTGTTTTATTAAATTATATGTAGGGTCAGGTTTAGTGTAGGGTTAGGATTAGGGTTACACTCATGAGGTTTTAGTTTTCAAAATTGTACTTGATTGTTTAATATGTATTATTTGTTATAATATTATTATAAACAGATTATTGTGAAGTAAATAAAATGCTCAAATTAACTGTGAACCTTTGAAACTTTTTAAGCAGAATTATTAGCACACTAGTGAGTCTCATTATCAGCATGCAGGCATATATTAATGATTAATAATAATAATAATAATAATAATAATAATAATAATAATAATAATAATAATAAAACATGTAAATGTATTATATAATACATACATTTTTTAAAATATATTTTATTTTATTAGCTAATGCAGTGTATCCCATTATTAAAAATGATTATTTAAATATAATAATAAATATTATCATGTGTAATATATGTAATAATAATTTTAATACATTTATTTTTATATAATATATTACATATTGTTTAAATTATATTTTATTTTATTAGTAAATGCAGTGCATTTCATTATTAAAAATTAATATTTAAATATTATATTAAAAATGTGTAATGTAGTAGTAGTAATAATAATAATAATAATAATAATAATAATAATACATTTAAATGTATTATATAATACATTGCTGTAGTTTTTATTATATTTTAATTTTTTAGTAAATGCAGTGTATTTCATTATTAAAAAAATATTATTTAAATATTATATAAAATAACATCACGTGTAATATAATATGTAATTATAATAATAACAAACAATTAAAATATATTATATAATGCATAAAATTTAGTTTTATTGTATTTTATTTTATTATTGAGTGCAGTGTATTTCATTATTACAAATTATGATTTATATATTATATTAAATAATGTGTAATATAATATGTAATAATAATAATAATAATAATATAATAATAATAATAATAATAATAATAATAATAATAATAATAATAATAACAACACATTTAAATTTATTTTATAATACATTACATTTTGTTTTTAGTATAGTTTATTTTATTAGCAAATGCAGTGTATTTCATTATAAAAATTATTATTTATGAATGATATTAAATAATATGTGTAATATAATATGTATTAGTAAAAGTAATAATAATAATAATACATTTGTGTATTTCAGTATATTTCATTATTAAATATAATTATTAAAATATAATATAAATAATATCATGTGTAATAATATAATTTGTAAATATGGACTTTTTATTTTTTATATTTAGTGGTTTAGTTCAGGGAAAATTAACTGAAAAGTCAGCATTAAATATCTTTGTTTTTATTTTTATATACTATTATTATATTTATATATAATTATTAAAACACGGATTAGATATAGTTATTAAAGAAAAGTGCCAAAGGAGAGTCAAACAAAATTGACAGGTAAATAAATCATTCCAGAAAAAGAGTAGAAAGCTTGCAGGTTTACAGGATGTGATCAGATTGTAAAAAAAATAGCACTAATTGCGGTGTAATCATATTGTATCTCGTAAAAAATGCTGATTCTAAAACCTGTGCTGTTCTGCAAATATTAAAAGCAAAATACACACAGTACTTTACAAGTTACAGTGTTAATAACAGTAACATATGTTTAATTATTTTTAGTGTTGCATGTAAACTGGCATTGGCAGGTGTTGCTGAAAGTTCATTTCAGACCCTGTGCACAGGATGTTTTTTATTCATCTTTGAATTGCTTCTTACATCTTACATTTTTTTCGATTGTCTACAACATCCCATTTTGAACATTTCTGCATTCAGACAGACCGAGATAAAGAGAAACTGAGGCTGGGAAAAACAGAAGAGTTTTTTTTTTTTTTTTTTTTTTTTAATGAAAAGAACTATAAAGCTTGCACAAGCAAAGATAAAAAGCACAGACCAAAATAAGAGACAATGAGAGAAAAACCATCCTTTTCCATTTAAAGAGATCTTTTGCTTTCCCTCTCTCCATTTTATCAAGCTTTAAGCAATGGCTATCACATGGCTCCATATCTGAAACCCCGTGGAGCCATTTACCATGGCTAACAATATCACAAACGTCTCAATGGACCACTTAACGAATGCTACCCAAGTGCTCTGTCTGAGCATATGACAAGCACATGATGAAACAAAAGAAACTCTGAGAGGAGAAACTGTCCTTAAACCCGCTCCCATGGGTCAGTTGTGTTTGGTCTGTTCGCAATACACTATAGTTCCTATATAGACCTTTTATTAACACATACACACTCTGAGTAAATGTAGAAGATGAAGAAGAAAAAAAAACAGATGAATCGGTGTGGGTCATTTTATTTTATGTTATTTATCTATTATTTTGTTTTATTTTTTAATTATCTTTTTTTTCAGATATATTTGTATTTTATTTTATTTATCTATTATTTTATTTATTTTTCATGCTTTTTATTTAATTTAATTTAATTTTTATATATTTATTTTATTTCATTTTATCCATTATTTAATTTTTTATATATTTTATTTTATTTAATCTATTAATTTATTATAGTTTAACTTATTTTTATATATTTTTCATTTTATTTAATTTTTAATATATATTTTAAAAATATATTATTTATTTATTTTTATTAATTCATTTATTTATTTATTTTTTTATTTAGTTTTTACCACAGGATTTTATTATATTCCATATAAAGAGCAGGTTTCAGGATTTGACACTCATCCTTTACAAGTCCCATATACTGTGGGTCATGTAAAATATGACATTTGACCACTGACTAGTCACTATATTAAGTAGTACTGTTGTTGGACAGTTTATCCTAAATATCCTAACATTGTCTACAAATCTAAGCATCTTAGTAAGTAAATAAATACAGTAGATAGAAGTTATGGCTGTTGTTATTGCAGCTAAACTACTGTAACTAATGTGAAAATCCCAGTAGATCGGCAGTTACTGAAAAACACTGATTCGTCCATGCATCTGACACCAACAACTATGCCATGTTCAAAGTCAATAAAATAATTTTCCTCCCTTTTTTGCTGCCACATTTGAACTTCTGCAGATCTTCTGGACCATGTCAGCATGCTTAAAAAACTACTGTGTAAATTTACAGTATACAGGTAACTAGGGAGTAAAATGAGACGCAGCTGTAGGGTGTGTGAATGAAAAGTGTGGTAAAGGGACGAATCCAATATTTTTTTTACTTTTTTATAGTTTTTTATTTAATTAAATTTAATATAATTTTATTTTATTATTTTTTTTTATTAGATTTTATATAAATGCTGTATAGTTTTAAGACTGGTATCTAGGAAGTCAAATGAGAGACATCTGGAGAAAGGAAAAATAAGAGCAAAACTTTAGCATGCACTTGGAGGAAATGCAAGGAAATACTAATCAATCCCTGAGAGATATTTTATTTTATTTTTTAGATTGTTTTTTGTTTCTTCTTTTTCTTTTTCTTCTTCTTCTTTTTCTTCTTCTTCTTCTTCTTCTTCTTCTTCTTCATATTATTATTATTATTATTATTATTTTATCATAGTATTTAATTAGATTTCTAATAAATGCTGCATAGTTTGGAGGCTGGTATCTAGAGAGTAAAATGAGACACATCTTGAGAAAGGGCATATGAGAAGTGTGGGAAAAAGAAATATAATATCATCTAACTTTTCTTCATTGCACAAAGTAGTACAAGGTCTTCCCGGCCTTGAGGTGGAGGGGAAAGGACAGATGAAAAATGTAATCTTTTTCTCTTTCTGATTGGGATATGTGTAAAGCTCTGAGGTGGTTTGGAAGTAGATATAATCCCACGCTCAGCAGATCGCAAGAGAAGCGATTCTGACAGCCCGCAAAAAAAAAAGGCACATGAGCTCCGGCTAGGCTAATCTACAGCTCGATTGGAGGATGTACTTAAACTGTCACTCCGGCCCCGAACCACCAGGGCGAAGTTTTCCCATTCTCCCTCTTCTCTCTTGCTCTCACTCTTCCTGCAGAGCATCATTAGCAAAGAGCGAGCACTAGACCTCAGAGAGTGGACGCTAATCACATCAGATCACATATCAGATCACAACAGCACAGACCCTAGATGCTGGCTAACTCAGCGATAAAAGACTACTACATGCTCACAGTTTTCCATCATATCGCCTTTGGTGGGATTGTCCAAACTGTGATTTGCAACTGGCTTAAACATAGCAGTACTGCTCAAAGGAGCGTGAGGTTATGTTATTAAGGCGATGCCATTATTTCCTGCACTTATTCTTGGCCGCCTTCCCTGAATAGTTTTTACTGCGCCATCGGTAATAGTACCACAGGTCTAAGCGCTCTTTAATCCTCCGTATTTGTTACCGGCTAAACTTGTTGTGAATCAGATTACCTTGTCTAATTAATTAGAGCTTTGCGCCAGACTGAAAGGCCACTGTCTTCTTTCTAGATGACAGGCGGATGATTTGTATTCGCATCTCAGTGGGAGGGAAAGTTGACGGCAAGTGTGGAAGAACAAAAAAATATAAAGCGGCTCAAGCTAATCCCTTTAAGTGAAGCGCTGGTTTGGCCCTAATCGGATGTAATCTACCTGCTTGGCAGCTTTCCAATCAGATAGTTTCAATTATGTGGTTGTAGGGGCATTCTGAAGGGGGAAGTGCTGAGCTGAGCACTTTGAAAGTGATTTGCAGATAACACTGAATGAGTGCGGCAATAGAAACGATTTAGCAGGACTCATTCCCCACCCGGCCCAAACATACAAACACAAGCCTTCTGTGACGTTGTGCTTTAGGCAGAGGAGGCTTGGATGAGAGGTCCAATGTGGCGGTGTATGATAATGTTC